ATAATGATAGTTTTAAAAATATGTGAAAAAAATATTTATATAAAAGTGACATACTGCAGCTTTAATTTCACTCAGGAGAGGATGGGTCCGGGGGGACGTGGGCTAGAGCTGCTGCTGACTGACTCAACTCATCTGTTGCTAAGTGGTAAAAAGTAAAAGGGACAAGTTAAATATATGAAAATGTTGGTAATTTTTGTTCCTTAATTCATTAAATGCTAGTGAAACGGAGGCAAACAGTAGTTTATAGCTAAACTAATGCAATGCTAAATGGTGGATAATCTCACACAGTCTACTCACCTCTCTTGGAGAAAAACTGGGCTATAAATTAACACTCTTGCTTTTCTCTCTCTCTCTTTTTTTTGGAAAAATTGATTTTCTAACTTTTCTTAGCAGCATAGTAACAGTCACAATCGTTCATGTCTTCCACTGAAGTCACTCTCAAGTGCTCCAAGCAGGAACGAACCATTTAACGCAGATAAGGGGGCAGGTTCGTGACAAATATGGATGTGTGTTTTTGGATCTGGGAGTGGGGACATTAAATTTTTACTGCTAAAAACAATCTTTGGAAATACAATATGATTAATTTTGTAACTGACAACGCCTCGATTTTTTTGTCTTTTTATTTCTATGAACAAAAAATAAATAATTAAATTGTGGAGGGCTCCCTGTTTGTCAGGCCCCCTAAAATTGTCATCACTTTCCCCCCCTACACCAAGCCCCTGCTGATGGCAGTGCTGGAAGCTCCTTCATCCTGAAAGAAATCCATCCAGGATTTTGTCGTTTGATTTTTACCGAGGAAACGCATTTCACGCAAACAACCGTGAGTGAAACAGTAACTGGGACTGACTACTAAATATATGAGTGAAAGTAACTTTCACATTAGATACATCTTTCTGAGCAGGTGACGGCGAACTTTCTCCGTCTATAATAAGACATTAAAGCGACTTGAAACCATTCCTCCCCCCCCTGCCACCTCCAGACCCGGCCCCCCATGGGCATCCTACAGCTCCGCGCCTGGAGGGAGTCATGTTTAGTTTAACGCTAACCAGCCAAAAGGCAGAAGTTAAAGCCTTAAGACACATCTTCTCATCTGCATATGATACAAAAATGCATAAGGCATAAAGACAGGGGACAGAAATTTTTTAAAATATATGGAAACAAAAAGAGTTTCCAGGTGGGTGGGGAGGATTAATAATAATTAATTAAAGAGAGACAAATGTGATTTAACGAAAAAAAAAAAAACAATAAAACTGAAATCATATTAAAAAATATAATTTGTTAGAACTAAGCCAAGAAAGAAAACGTAAATATGAATGT